AGCGAGTAGGTGACCTGGGCATTGGTGCCTGAGTCTCTGTCTGTGGCGCTGATGGTGCCTATGTGCAGGGCGGGGCTGTTGTTTTCGCGGACGAAGAGGGTGTAAGAGGATTGGGTGAAGGTCGGGGCGTTGTCGTTGACGTCGGAGACCAGCACTGTGATGCTGTGCTGGGTTTGGAGCCTGGGTGTGCCCAAGTCGGTGACGGTGATGGTGATGTTGTATTCGGCTCTGCTCTCTCTGTCCAGCGGGCTCTCTGTTAGTAGTGTGTAAAAATTTTCCGCTGAAGATTTCAGCAAGAAGGGTAGATGCTGGTCCTGAATGAAGCAATTTATTTTTCCGTTTTCTCCTGAGTCAAGATCTGAAACACTGAAAACTGCAACGACTGTCTCATGTGAGTTTTCAGGGATGGAGTTGGTAAGTGCAGACATAGTAACCTCAGGGGCATGGTCGTTCACGTCCAGGACTTGGATTAGAACGGTGCATTTTCCAGCAAAGCTTCCAGTATCTTTGGCCTCCACATTGACTTCATAGGACTGAATTCTTTCAAAGTCAAGTTGGTCGATCAGTCGAATTTCTCCAGTCAAGGGATTGATCTCAAAAGTTTTACTAATGTCCGCCGAAGCCTGGAAGAGTGAATAGGAGATCTCTGCATTGATTCCTGTGTCTACATCTGTAGCAGAGACCACGACAACCAGGAAGCCTGTGGGACTGTCTTCAGGGATCTGCACCCTATAGAGAGGCTGCTCAAACGCAGGGGCATTATCGTTTGTGTCCACCACTTCTATGTGGACCTGAGCAGTGCCAGACCGGGGTGGGGAGCCGCCATCCTGAGCTGTTAGGGTTAACCTGAGCTCAGCTTCCTCCTCCCGATCCAGAGCTTTGTCTTGCACCAGTTCAGGATATTTCCCACCATCGCTGCCTTCTCGGGTGAGGACCCGAAAATAGGAGTTGGGACTGAGTACATAGTTCTTGATATTATTTGGTCCTACATCCATATCCTGTGCCTTCTTCAGTGGAAATGTAGTCCCAGGAGCACTGCTTTCTGATATCTTAAGCAACATTTCTCTGTCCAGGAATTCAGGAGAGTGGTCATTTATGTCTGTCACTTGTACCTCAGCTTGGAAAATCTGTAAGGGACTCTCCAGCAATACCTGGAAACGTAGCACACAGGGCTCTGTGTTCCCACACAGTTCCTCTCGGTCCAGTTTGTCATTTACCAACAAATCCCCAGTCTCCTGGTTGAGCTGCAAGCGCAGTTTGTTCCCTTTAGAAACGACCCTAATCCCCCTTCTGGAGAGTTCCCTCTGCTCCAGACCCAGGTCCCTTGCTAAATTGGTTACAAAGGAGTTGCCCTCCGTTTCCTCCACCACAGAATAGTGTCCGAGTTCCACCGCTCCCGCTACAAATAAATACAGTAGGAAAAAGGAAAAAAGGACTTGCCTTTGTCTGCCAAGGAGCTTCCTGCCAGTTTCCATTGTTCTTGCGTGGTACAGCTTTCTGTGAGGATGTTTACCTCTGAAATGTAAAGTCTCCAGTATCTGTCACTGTAGTTATTGTACAAGACACCTGAGAAATATACCAGTATTTTTCGAGTCCTTCTTTAGAGGACCCAGACCTCCTTTCCCGTGGGCGTCCAAGCTCTGCCTTTAAAAATTTCTTGGTAATGGAAAAGCTGCGATTCCAGTTTGTCCCTTCTTATCCTACAGCGCCACCACGCGTCCTCATAGGATCTTACATATTGTGGGATGAAAATGGATGCTGTATTCCAAACATTGCCTGTATAGTATGTACCACTAGGCTACATTAAGATTGTAACACCGCCTATATGGTCGCTGTACCTTACTGGGCAGACAGCGGTCTAACGGCCAAACAATAGGAATGACATTAGTAGAGACTGTCAATAATGCTATTGAGTTTGGGGCACAGTTAGGTAAGGGTTTGGCTGGAAATAATTATAGGCAGGAAAATTGAAATATATGTATTCGAATTTGAGAAAAATACATGTAATGCGGATGTCTTTCAGAATCATATCTTATTACCATTAACTGCAGAAATAACAGCTGCAATCCTTGCATAAATTATTTAACTGCTTTGCCTTAGTATCTTCATCTGAAATATGATAATAGTACATACCACATAGAGCTGTTGTGAATTTCACACCTTACAGGATAGAGAACTGATGCAGAGAGAGATTACCCTGATAAACTATACATGGCAAGTAGATGTCACCAAACAACTGAGTCTTCATGGTCCATTGCTATGAATAGAAAAAAATACCTCAATATTCACACAGAAGAAGGAATGAGCAAGACTATCTCTAAAGAAGTGGTCATGTCAAATGATGAGAAGGACTAATGGAAAAACTGGAGGTATGAACATGTGACATCAGTGGTGATTATGTATTTTAGGAAGGTGTGTTTTATAAAGAATTAACTCTCCTCCTGACCAGTTTCTAAAAACCTTTTGTTTTGAAAAATCTCAAACCTCTTAAAAATAAATGAACCTTCATGCACTCATCACTTATTTCAACAATTATCACGAGTTTTCCATAATTTTTTAACCTTCTAACATTTTCACACCTTAGGAAAAGTGAACTTTCACTGATGAATACTTTGTTATGCATTTCTCTTAATGAATTCTTGAAAACCTTACCTACATAGTCATTATCATGTCTAAGAAACTGGATATCTAAATTAATGTTATTCAATATCATCTATATTAAAATTACTCAAATACTTTCAGAATCAAGATCCAAACAAGAGGGCTGGGATTTAGCTCATTGGCACAGCGCCTGCCTGGCAAGTTCAAGGTCGTGAGTTCAATTCCCGGTACTGGAAAAACAAAACAAAACAAACCAAAAAAAGATCCAAACAAGATACTCTACACATTGGATTTTTGGTAGATCTCCAATTTTTTCCCTGTGTAAATATTCTTTTTCTCTTTTTCATGTCATGTATTTATTGGTGAAATTGGATAATTTTATCATTGGAGTATGATAAAATTAGTTCTGTGAGGTGTTTTCTGTCTTTAGGCTATGTCCCACTAGTCATTTACAACAATACCTCTATTTTCAGAGTTATTGGCCCTAGTTTATAATGTTTGCAGAACACATACATGCAAAAATATCTGGATATATGTTTAAACTTTTTTTATTTCAAGAAGAGAAGAACAAAAACAAGGACAAAACCAAAACAACACAAAAACTATAAAAACGATACAGAATTTCAAAACAAGATGATAGGAAATCAACAATGGTTGTTGTATTACTTATTGTTATCAAGGTAGTTGCTCATCATATCACAGTGACACATGTGCACCCATGTTTATAGCAGCACAATTTGTCATAGCAAAATCTTGTAAGCAACCCAAATGCCTGTCAACTGAGGAGTGGACAAAAAAAGATGTGGTATTTTGGATACATTTGTTAATGCTCGGGATTGAACCCAGGATCTCAGGCCTGCTTGGCAAACACTCTACCACTGAACTAGTACAACCTCAACCAAAGATGATATTTAAAGAACAAGCAGTTACAGATTATGAAAATAAATAAAGCTTCTTCTTCAACTCCCCAGAATTTGTAACCTTTAATAATGTATTTCTCTATGATATTACACATTTAAAAGTGTACCTTTTTAAAATTTTCCTGATTCCACACAGCAATATACTGAACAAGAAATTAAAAATAAACTTCATTAAAGCAGAAAATGGTGTTATCAATGTAGCTGTGAATGACTCAAGACAAATTCAGCAGGGTGAATAATGGAACTAATAAAACAGTCACACTGTTTGACATTCCTATTCACAACCATTAATCTTTTCTGTAAATGAAAGTCATATGTTCAGGAGAAGAGGAGAAAATACAGGCTGATCTTTTACTTTTTTAAAGTTCAGATTTGATCAGATCGGGCCTTTAGTAATAGTAGTTTAATAATTAACCCATAAAAGCAGGGTTGTTGGTTTATGTGAAAATAAAATTATTGACTCATAAGAGCATTATTTCTAAATACAAAGGAAAATGAACAGGAATATGAACATGATAGAAAGATTTCTTCTTCTTTGTTAGGCAGTAACTTCCCAATGACAATTAATGACAGAAAACAATGTGGCATTGGTGCAAATTAATATATACAAAATCAAACAGAATTAGGAGAGATGCTTAGCTGTGTCATACACTCGTTGGTGAACTTTATGAGTCTCTATGAACATCTATTTTCTCATAGATTTCTTCAGAGATTAAAAGTGTATATGATGTACAGTGATTTCTTTTAAAAAAATAAGCTGAAGAAGATACTGTCAATCTATACTTACTAAATTTAGGGTAGATATACAAAATTCTAATCAAAAAAAGATAGTAGTATAAAAATTAAACAATGGAAAATAGCTTTTAAAGTCTCAAGATTTATCATTTAATAGACTACTTTAAGCATACTACTTTGAGATAAAACATGACACACATTTCATGCTTTGTGGAGGGTTCTTGGGAATGAAAGAGGATCACTGTGGGTCAAGGTGGTGAATGCCTGCAACCGCAGATCCTGCGGAGGCTGAGAGGAAGACTCCCAAGTTCTAGGACAAACTGCACCTTTTAGACCACCGTCTCCAAACAGAATAGGCTGGAATGCAGGTCAGTGTTACAACCCTACTTTGCATTCTCAGAGGGCCTGGTTTCAATCCTCAGGAAGATAAAAAACAGGATTCTCTTTTGCATAAGGAAATTTATTCCTTGACTGTAGAGCTTTTTAATAAATAAAACATTTCTCTACAGGAACCTAATACACGTTCCTAAGAATATATACACAGAAAGATTTGCACTTTCATTCTTTATCAGAAACCCAAACTACTCCGAAAAGAGTTTTCTTCCACCTCTTCCCCTGTGCTCCGGGGCAGGAAGTTGGGGACAATCGGCTTCAGGAACTGGAAATCGCTGGTCTCTGTACCTCCGCTCAGACACACCTCATACTGGTAGCTGTGGGCCAGGGTCCCGGCGCCGCTGACGTCCAGCAGGCGGGCCGGGAAGGGGCCCTCGGGCGCCGGAGCGCC